TCAAATGCGGCGTGCGTGTGTGTGTGTGTGTATGTGTGTGCGAGAGAGAGAGAGAGTGAGAGAGAGAGTCTGTCAGAGTGTGAGTTTTGTGTTTCTGCCCCTGCCGTTCCAGCACAAGGTTGTAGCACTTTAATTTATAAATGTGATCTAACAAAGGAAAATAGCAAATATCAACCATATATTACGGTGGCCCAGAGAGCTCAATGCGCTGCAACTTAAGAAAACACATGCAAATTGAAAAAACACCAGCAAATTAAGAAAACATCTTCATCAGTTTGACAACACACGCGCTGCAAATCCTCACAGCACACGCAAATGAAGAAACGCTGCAAATCCTCACAAATCCCAGCCGGGTCCGTCACTTTTTTGGGTCCCCTTGAAACATTTCCGTTGTGGTCCGTGCTATTTGCAGCGCGTTTCTTCATTTGCGTGTGTTGTGAGGATTTGCAGCGCGTGTGTTGTCAAACTGATGAAGATGTTTTCTTAATTTGCTGGTGTTTTTTCAATTTGCATGTGTTTTCTTAAGTTGCAGCGCGTTGAGCTCTCTCGGCCACCGTAATATATGCTGTTTATATTGCTTGTAATTGGGATGAAGTTGAGTATTGAGTATCTGTTGAGTATTGTAACATACATTTTTTAATTGTGTTAAATTAAAAACCCAAAAATGCAGCGGGTCCACCAGACCCACGAACACTGGCTGAGTAACAAAAATATGAACACCACACAAGGGTTAATTTCTTATAGCCAAAAGCAAACTAACCGACTCAATATTAAGATTACTTCAGTTTTTTATCTATCTATCTATCTATCTATCTATCTATTTTTTTTAAAACAAACTGCGGTAGAACACAAGCACAGTACAACAACAACAAACTACCACGTCTCAGTCACGAACACGTTTTTATTAAGTATTGCATTAATATTACACTCATTGCATTAATATTACACTCAATTTAATTTATTTGACCTAAACACCTTAATTAAAATTTTCGGAAAATCGAAAATACCACTTATTTAATCAATTAAGCAAATTTATTTAATAGTCAACACTCATATAAAATGTTTAACAAAAATTTAAATCGCACATAAGACAGTTTCATATAAAGTTTGTAATTATTTTCTGAAAAACGAAAATTAGGCATATTTAATCATTTAGTTTATTTAATAATCAACGCTCTAATGAAACATTTATCACAAATTTAAATCACACA